TAACAAATTGAATTAGTATATCTTTATTTAAATGCGCTTTAGATTATATTTAGAAAATTTCTCATTTTGATCAGTATATAATAACCATTTTGTACACTTTAAAGGTGTTGTATGCTGTTTTAAACAACATTTCGTATGCTACATTCGCTCAATTTTTATCTACACTACGACTATTTATTATCACAAGACACGAGGCAATTCAAACAGAACGCCATGATTAAAGTTTTTATGTGATTGCTCGCAGAACATCAAAGCAGGTTACAAGTTGTTGGGGCTTGTTCGTGTCTCTATTGAGGCGTTGAAGTGCAACGGCGCTCGCAGCGACAGCGACAGCGATTGCGATTGCGACTGCGAGTGCAACTGCAGTTAAGTAACTTATATGGCCATTGTAAGGTCTTGGCTCTGGGGATCACTCACCTGAAACACATAGACGAATATGTGGAACGTACAAATGGCCTGGTGGATCGATAGCAGAGCGCACCACATGCGCTGCCAGCGGCTTGCAGAGCCCAACAATCGTTGCAACGTCTTCATTTGGAGAAGTTCCAACTGATCGTCGCCGACCATGGGCGTGGCTAGCAACATGGGCGACGATTCGCCAGCTGTATTTATTTCGACCGTTTGCATACTGTGAGCCCTCAATTTGAATCGAATTAGAAAACAAAGTCAACCGACTGCCACTTGCGACACAATTAAACTGATTTAAAATGTTTGCGAATATATATATTTTCAGTTAAGAAACGCACTCACAGCAGCCAATGAGCATAGGCATATGCAAAGTTCGATTTTTATGCGTGTGATTGCTGAGAGCCTCGGTCTTATAGTGGACCACAAGCGTGCTCTTTGCTCTTACAACTGAGTTGTTAGACGGGCAGGTGTTGAAACCGAAGTGGAAGTCACTGTAGCACAGGTGCGCCATCATACACGATTTTTAAAGGGGTATTCAGATAAAATTGAACAAAGCCGACATGACGCTCAAAAGAGCTGCGCTTAACTGATGAACCGAGCTGTGGCATAAATTAACCCAGTTGAGCGTTGAATTTAGTTAAGCTCTCAAGTCATTAATCTCAAGGGGGATTGGAGCAAAAGAGTGAAGCCATTTCTACCACTTTCTGAGTGTTTTCAGTTTGATATGTCTATTTTTAAGTTAACAATTTTTATAATATTTACTTATATGAGAACAATAATATATACATATTTTTAAATTCTCACACAAATTCTATTCTTATTTGTTTCAATAATTAGAACATTTGTAAGATTGTAACATTTTTACTTTGACATGCACGTGTGAGCATTGTCAGCTCATCTTAGCTCGTGACTAAAACATTGTAAGGTTTCATATTTATCGCAGTTATATTTTAAAGCCCAGTAGCATTTAGATTGGGTAGGGTTAGGTAACGGAGTCAGAATGAACAATATCAAAAATTATGCCGATCCCAAAATTTTGTTAGCAAACTGAATGGACATAAGTTTTTACTAATATGCAAATATATCAGACATATGTATGTGGTTAACAGTAATGCCTTGCTTAAAAATGAATTTGACAAATACCCTTTTGATTTTTTTTCTGCCTAATTTTTGTAACCCGCTTTTAATTATGTACTTTATGTACCATTCTCTTACATAAAAGTTTAATTATAGTAATAGGTATATGAAGTTTCTTATGATTGCAATTTTTATAATATTACATCATATACAATCGATTAATTAGTTAAGCTTAGGTAATATTAGCTGGTCGTTAGTTAGCCAATTTTATTTCCGTGCATATAAGAATGGCCCCTTGATTGGGGGTTACGAACATGAAATTATTGACTGGTTAGTAGTCGTACTTAGGTACATATATCTTAAGTTCTTGACTACTTGATGCTGCAATATTCTTTCGTATTTAGTAAGCTCTATCGTACACCGTTCATGTCAAGGTACATTGTGGTTTGTTTCTTTTTTATTTGTATATTTGTTTTTGGCTACCTTTTGAAATGCCCATTAGCACGCTAGTCGATTATCGTTATTATCGTGCCCCGAATCAAACAATCGAAGTGCTCAAATCGGTGTTCGCAATTGACTTGCACGCAAATCCATCTAAGTTTCTGACAGATATTCGCTGTGACAAATGATGGCAGATTGCAAACTTGAGAAGCCTATTGGGTGCGTATGAAATAGGTATAAACGCTGGCAATGCAAATTTCTCGAAGGTCGATCATGAGCGGATTTCATGGCACACGCGACTTCGACAATGCCTTAAAGGCATGAAATTTTAACAAATTTGAGATAATTCATGTATATGTATATGTATATATTTATGTAGATTATACCAGCATATACCTATATATTGCAAGTATATATTATTATTCGCACTCCCATTGACATTTATTAATTTCGACGTATTGCTGACAGAGCAAGAACCAGAACATTATCAAGTGACGGCGGGCCGCATACTTATGATGCCCGGGGCTTTTATGTTATCACATGTTTTCTATTTCATCAAGATAACAGACTACTAGCGAGCGTCGAATGTGAGACTTGATATTTTTTATAGTTCTTTTTACACTTACTCATTAACGACCTACTGAAGTGTCCACTGCTGAGGATCGATACGATTGTAGTATTTTAATTGGACTCATTTACGTCTTATGTATTAAAGAATCTTTTGTCACACATTTCTTGATATGTTTTCATAATGAAAAAGATCAAACGAACTTCACCCAATCGATTGATCACATTAGGTAAAACTTTCTCTTCCCATCACCGATGCAAATCAATTATTAAACCTGTTGCCATACATAATTGCCCTCGATCTGTCTTACCACACAAAACACTAAACAACAAAACACCGCAGGCAATTTATAATTTGGCTTTGAGTGTGCGACGCAATCAACTGTGCAAATATTTGCCAGTCCACAAACTGAAACTCACCTGAAACACAAACATAAACAAATGAAATGTGGTGGGCAACTGGCAGAGGCAGAGCAGAAAGGTCCACATAAAGCTCCATTTGCGATAATGGCCCAGAAAATTGGATAGAACATCGCTATCAACATCCTGGCTAAGATCCTTGACAGGGCTCGCGACTGGCACGGCAACAGCCATGAGGCCGACCTTCTTTAGGTCATCGGAGTGGCGACGAAAATCCATTGCAATTACTTTTATTTCCGGTGTGCCTGGTGCTGGCTTTGTTTCGCGGTAGCCGCCATAAAGGTTTGAATCAAGGCTGCCCCGTGAGCTGCCAACGCAATCGAATTTCAGGGAACCGCGACGCAAGACACCACTCATAGCGCACTCAAGGGAACAAAAATTGTTTAAGAGGCTAAGTGTAACACTTCTTCAAATTGTTTCCGCTAGTGTACATATATTATTTCCTTTCTGTGCTGATCAATCGTACTGCTCGAAGTCGCGCCGTTGATTGTTTGCTTTGCTTTTCGCGACGATCTAAATCCGTTAAAAGTTCAGTCAAGCTATTATAAATGGCAAAAAGCTCAAAAGCTCTAAATGGCAGCATTGCCAACTGCGTCAAATCTAATTGCTAAACTTCGCCTAAGTCAACGACTCGAAAGTTGACGTAGGTTGAAAGCTTTCCGCCTAGAGCCATATGCTGCTAGCAGTAAACGTTTCCACATATTTATTTGTTTATTTATTTATTTATTATTTTAAGCATATTTGTTTTGACACTAATTGATTTACGTTGCTTTGGTAATTTTGATTTACAACAAATTCATATATGTATATGTCATAATTAACATTATTATTTTGTTCTTTCCTAAAATCCAGTTGCGCATTGAGCATTTAACATCAGTTTCAAAGACGATTTAAGATGGAATATCGAAAAGTTAACATAGATTCTTACTTTCTTTTCATTAACATTTAAAAACGTAACTTGATAGCTCTCGCATTATCCATACTTTAACATTACAAATTCATCTTTCATATATTTTTTTTTTTATCTTAAACTTACATGTGATTTTTTGATTGTATTTGTAAATAAAAAACTTGCATTTCAATATAAGCAGTATTTACTTGAAATGAACATAATATAAGATTCCACTTGGCTCGTAAGTACAATTCCAAATAAATCATAAGCAAACACAAAAGCCTACATACAGAAAAGAACTATAATATTATAATATCGTTTGTAAGTACAACAAGCAAGTAATTCTTAACATTTATATTTCAATTTCTAGCCAATTGCTTACGCGTTTTATTTATTAATATTCAACTACATATATTCATATATTTAAATGCATTATTGTGGGAAATTTGTAAATTATTGTTGATGATATTTCGTTAGAAACAAATTTGCAATATGAGGTGTGAGAACAATCAACAAGCAGCATTACCTGCTCTCCATATGCATGTACGTGCCTATATACAAATACATATACACCTAAATATATATATATGTATGTAAATATGTATACATAATTAATATGCATAATTGACCGATATTTAGTAAGCGAATAATTGACTACATTTACCAGAGATAACATTTCTCACTTCAATTCAATAATTACTTTAATTTGTTTCGCATGTTCTATATATGTATGTATGTTAATATGGTAATAGACGAGCACATCGAAGACGGCAACAACAACGAGATTATGTATACATACGTTGACATATTGACAAGACATATTGACAAGAATTTTTTACTTAAATATATTGTGGCTGTTCATTCCGTTGCTGATAGAGTAAATAATTGAGCAATACTTTTTAAATATATTCATTTCTAGTTATTCGGCTACCCTACGAAAGTCTCACATAAATATGAACAGGATACATGTCTATTTTTATCAAAGAATTTAAATAAATTTTGAGAAATTATCTTTACAAATTTTAAATAGAGAGACAGGAAAAAAATTGCTTTAGATACAATTTTTTATTAAACAGGAATGCCTTTATAAAAGGCCCTAAAAATACAAAAAAAAAAGGAAATTTAAGAATTTCTAAATCAGAAAAATGATTTTTGAAATTATTTATGCATTAAAATTCCTGTTGTATTATATTTATGTGAAATTTGTAATCTTCGATGATACCGAAGAGATTTGCCTACTCCGAATTGTGACTTCGTTAACAATATTCATTTGTTTATTCTTACACTATTATAAGCTAAAAGCCATTATTACATTACGAATAACAGTTTTGTTTTAATATATTATTTCATTTTTAAATACTCACTACTTGCTACGCAAATAAGGTCCTGCCTGACTTTTAGACTTATGGCATTCCATGGACATTCGATTAATTGCGCTATTTACTTGAGTTCTTGGTTATTAGAAGGTGGCGGTGGCTGAGGCGGTGGATATGTCAAATCGGGGCTGGGCAGCGATTCAAGTGGGTACTGCTTGATATTAAGTAGTTCTCTGGTAGCCTGTGTGCTCATTTACATACTTTGGACCAGCCAAAATATTTCTTAGGTGACAGGAGTATTGGGAGTGCGGTGAGGCGTATTAGAGTAACGTCTCTATAATTTATTACACCTGCTTAGCTGCGTTCTGGCGATTTGTTGCGGACGGTGCATTTTTCCGCACCGCCGTCTCAGGCAGGAAGAGCACCACAAAGCCGCCAAAAATACTCCAAGCGGTGAGCAGAGTCATCAGCAGGTGGCCTTCGATTTTGTTCTGTATAAAAGAGAATACAAATTTAATATATGTTGTTTTTTTTAATATCCAATTATATTTCATACCAGAAGCGATAAGTAGGGCGTTAATATGAGCGCCAATCCAGCGGCAACGTTGCAGGCGCCCACTCCCACATTGCGTATGGCCGTGGGATATAGTTCGGCGGTGTAAACGGGCATGATGGTATTGCCAGCGCTGATCGTAAACTTGCCCATCATCAGGAATGTGATCTTCAGCCAAAGCATGTCCTCGCGTCCCTCAGTGATCGCAGCACAGCAACAAGCGACGCCGGCACAGAACAGGGTGGCGCAAAAGAGCCATTTTTTGCCCACCTTGGTGATAATGTACATGGCCACCGCAATGGCAGGTATTTCGACTAGGCCAGCTAGCGCCTGCAAGAAAAGACAGAGACATCACATCAGAGAAACAGATCTACTCGAATGTCGACGGACCACACTAAATCAAAGCGGCATCAAAGGTGCGCTATGCCATGTCAAAATAAATTATCTAATAAATTTTCTACGGAAAAAATACTTTGGATATTATGTTGTAGCAAGTGATGTTCACTTAGCGCAATATAAGCTAGATTATGTTATTATGTTTCTTCCACATTATAGTTACTCTAGTAGTCTATTCTGGTCGCGCACACAAACTCTATATTATGTTTTGTAATTTCAATATCTTGGCTTGTACTTAAAAAATTTAATAAACATATTTTTAGTGCGTAAAGAATATATTATAATTTATAGAGCTGCCAAAAAGACTCAGTTATAAAAGTTGGAATGCTTAGAATTTGGTAATAATATCTTTTAATGTTTTTTTCAGTTAGTATAAAATAATAATTTTGAAACATTTAAATTTATTACATTTTATAGAATATTCGAAATTATAATTTATTAATTTCACAAACAGCAGACAGCTTTAAAAGTTTTGTTTAAGTTTTTCAAAAATCTTTTTCATGCAGCATTTGCCTTTGGCACCTCGCCAAATTCCGCACATGATTCTTAAGAGTTGGCATGAGGGGATAGACGGGGGCATTTTGGGCAGCATCGGCAGCAGCAGCAACATCCCCAAGCATCATTTATTTGAAGCTGTTGTAAGCAACATCATAATTTGATAGTAAACACATTTGCCTGTCCTTTTGACCGACTGTCCGACTGTCTGCCTTGGTCGTGGCACGCTGACATGGCACTCAAACACACACATACACATACATACATACACATAGGCATAGTAAATATTCTGACAGATCCAATTAGCGGACAGCTCTGGACTGGGCGGGCACTTAGCACTTGTTAAATTTTAAATGTGTTCGCAACGCACTTGTCACTAGAAAATTGAGACTTGATGTTTGATGGAAACAATTTGAATTAAGTAAGTTACAGAGGAAATTTCGGACCTGGAACAGAATTCCGTAATGCGCTTAAATCAAGGGAAATCAAGCGGTCCTTCGATGCCCTAAATGTTACTTAACGTTCATGTAAAATGTTGACAACTTACCGAATTCAAGTAGACATTGCCACCGAACGAGCTCATATTCAAGATAATGCCGTAGTAGACCAGGTTCATGGTGAACCAAATGCACAGAAAACAGATGGAGATGCGCCTCAAGTAGCTGGACCGAAACAGATACGTAACGTCTTGTGAGCTGCTCTCTTGCGTAGGCGGTGTTAGCTGGTAGTCCGGGGGCAGCTGGCGTCCATTGAAAACGGCCGCAGCTTCAATGATGCGTTTCACTTCCTCAATGCGACCCTTGACCAGCAGCCAACGCGGTGATTCCGGCACCACAAACCTGCCAAAGAGAAGCACACCCCATACAGAATCAGTCTCACGCTCATAAATTAGACACCTCCTCGTCTGGTCAGAGACGTCTCGCATGTATAAATGTGTGTGTGTGTGTGTGTGTGTATGTTTATAATTGGGACACCCACGCGCAGTTTGTTCTTTATTTGCCATTTATTGCTCAGCCGACTCAATGATCAATGCGGTACACACACATAGGCAGGCATAGTAGTTTACTTATTGTTTATGTGTACACGATATTTTATTGGTAATTAACACCTTTCACGCGCCAACTTTTGTTTACCTTTGCGAACAGCTTTTGATTCAGCTGGAAATATGATGAAATTAATTGACCTTACCAGAGAAAACAGAGGAAAATGCCTGGGAGACCAATGCACAGCTGCAAACGTTGATAGTCTTGCGTCAAATAGGCCAATCCAGATATAATCATATACGATATTGGCAGTGGGAATAGGTTATACATGCCGGCTATTGTTCGCCACTTGCCATCCACATATTCGATTGCCAGAATGAGGCCCGAATAGGTCACAGAGACGGAGACGAGCCCCAACAGAGCACGCAGCGTCAAATATAGCTCAAAGGAACTGCAAAAGTACAGCCAGAGACCTAAAGGAATGAAAAGGGAAAATATTAGTAATAATATGATTAAATTTTAATTTACATATATATTTATGCATATATATATATGCATTGAAAATAAGAATCGGGGTATAATAGTTAGTTAAATGTATATAACAAGCAGAAGGGGGCGATTCCGTAAGCAAAAAAGACTAAGTATTAAGTATTTCCTCTAATGATTCCCTCTAAGTATTTTTTCTAAACGCTTATAAATGCTTCCTCTAATCTTTTCTTCTATGTTTTTATTCGAAGTGTTTCCTTCAAGTCTTTAACGCGTAGCTGCATGATCACACACTTCACTTCACTTTACTGCACTGCACGACCGAGCTTGGGCGACTGAAGAAATGCTGTGGCTGCTGCCCTATATATAGGACAAGTTTCTCTCAAACCCTTGATCGCACTCAAATGTTGTAGGAATCGTTGCCGTCGAGCTTTATGTAACCAATGGGAGTGCTCTCTGCTGCGTCAAGCATTCTACATACTCTAGCTTCATAGGGATCGTTGCTCTCCAGCTTCAAGCAACCAATAGGAGCGCTCTCTGCTGCGTCAAGAATTCCACCTTCGTTAGCTTGGTAGGAATGATTGCAGTCGAACTATAAGCAACCAATGGACACACTCTCTCTCTCTCTCTTAATAAATACCTAATGAATACTGCTGAATACATATGCAGCGTCTTTCTGTCTTTCGTATGTGTTTACTGCCCTAACTAAACCAATTTTAAACAAATTTAAGATATGTACCTCGAAAATGAATAGCCAAAGTGCACACAATTAATTGTGGGGCTGCACGTTGCTGGCCAATTCATGCCGATAGCTTATTAGGAATGTCCTTTTGTATGCAAATTCCAATTACATTGAACGTGATTTAATCAACAAGGTCAACACAAGCAGGCAAATGCCGCAGATGCTGCAGTTGAAGCTGTAGCAACCACCTAACGTTGACCCCGTCGCCAATGCCAAGTTCAAAGTCAAAAGGGGACACTGGCGGCATTTGCCAATGTCACTTCCGTGTGTATGTCTCTGAGTGAGTGTGGGTGTATTGAGAGCTGGCAGTAAAGGTCACTGCGGTAGGATAATTATGTGTCAGCTAACGATGATGATGATGATGATGATGATGATGATGATGATGATGGTGATGATGGTGATAGTATAGGGTTGTGGGTGCTATGTGGTCCACTTACCGAATATGGTCTGTAGCACGGCCGATATGAAGAGCATTGTTTTGCGACCAAACTTGTCGGAGAGGTAGCCGGAAATAATGCCACCTGTTGCAACGCCCAGCAGAAAGAACATCTCGGCCACATTTTTCAAATGCTCCTTGTCGCACACCAGATCCCACTGCGAGGTCCAAGTGTTACCGACATTGTCGTTTGTCGCATACTCCCAGCTGTTGCAGGCAACCAGCTTCCCGTCGTTGGCAGCCGTAGCTGCTGCTGCCACCACCGCCGCCTGTTGCTGCAAGCGGCGATAAACGCTTTAGTTACCCGTGGCTGGTTGTGGATTTAAATGGGATTTCATGCATGAACACTCCTTACTTACCTCCATTTGTGAGGGCAGCGTTTCATTGCTCAGCTGGCTCCAATCGATGCCAGCGCGCATATGACAATTGTCCTGGGAGCTGCTCAGATTTCGCCAAGCATCCACGGGCAATTGCTGCAGATGTGTTGGACGCTGGCACCAGAAGTCCTTGTTGGCCGCCTGGTAGACAGATGAGGATATGTGAAACGTGTTTGGCACCTGGAAAAGCGACAGCAGCACTGTCATCAGCAGCTGCCATTTGCCATAGTGACCCATTAGATCGCCAATCACATCGGTCTCATCCTCATCGTCAGCTGGCCCAGTTCCGGGCTCCGTCGCTGCCATTGGCGACTGTGTGGGTGTGGTTATGGGGGACGGTTTGCCGGCTGTGTCGTGCATGACGCACAAAGGAACTGCAAGGTTGGCAAAAAAGAAAATTTTGTTTTATGACCTGAGCTGGATGTGCACATAATTTTTATGTAACGCTGGGAACTCCTTTAAGTTAATGTTAAACTCGCACTACGCCAACATTATCATATACCAAATTTACTTGTTAGTACACTGTAAGCCAGATAAGATGAAATCTTTCCTACAATTAATGTATAAAGTTTCCATTCCGGGAATTTTCTTTATTTAACTATAATATATGTATGATATATGTGTAATGTTTGATCTCTGTTAGATCACAGATATTCATGATTCTGGTGTTTACCTTAGAGTTTGACAAGCTGCACGAATATTTCGATTATGCTTAATGGAAAAGAGCATTCATATTAATTTTATGGCGCGTGTCAGGCGCACACAAAGACGCAATTAGTTAAGTGGCCAGTGGCCAGTGGCCAGTGGCTAGCACTGGCTATAAACCAAGTCAGCCTCTCAGAAACAGGCAAGCGGGCAGGCTGAAGCCGAATGCAGCCAAGTCAAGCAGCAAAGAAGACTCTATTTCATTTATTACGCGAGTCCATAGCCGTTTCCCGCCGCACTTGGCCGCAGTTGCCACCCCTTGCCCACTGCTCGTAACCTGCGTTCGATGGAATTCAATCACATCGTGGGCGATTAACCACAGCCGGGCAAAGTCCGATCTGAGCCACCAGCAAAAGTTGTGTGGGCACACACAAATACAAAGTAAAAGAACAAGAATAATAGCTAAGATTTAATGTAATTGCATTGGATGGGGCTCGAAGGGCTTGGCGGTCGTCATGTTCGTGTCCTTTTCTCAGTTGGCTAGTTCAACATTGTTTTTTTTTTTTTTATTCTGTGGGGCTCTTTCTTTCAATGCGGTCAGCGCATTGGCTTTGTTAGGGATTTGCCAGCTCAGCCAGTGACTGACTAGCAGTATAAAGCCAGAGGTAACAATATCCACGCCAACAACTAACTAATACAATACAAAGAAATAAAGTTTGACTTAAATCTCATTGAGCCTCCCTCTCTTAGCTACACTAATCCTCTGCAAACTTCTCATTGGGGCTGTCTGCCAGCCCGCTTCTCCATCTACCCTTTTGCGTGGCTTATAATTAAACACTTTGCTACACGTCAAATGAAGTCAATTTCACATTTCCTCAATATCATTAAGTATTTACTACGCCCATGCGTCGTTATTGAAATAGGAAATAGGAAAGCAATGTAACCAAATGCTTGCCCAAGCATATTCAATCTTATGGATATATTAATGAAAGCAATTAGAGCAGCAGCAATTAGATTAGGTCAATAATCTCTGATTTCGATATCTGCTTGCTGTAGCTAAATAGTCACCTATTACGATTGAAGTTTGCTTAGTAATGGGGAGCCGTATATAAAGTAATGTACAATTGTCTTAGCTGAAGATCAAAGTAAGTTAACAAATATTAAATCAAGCCCAATTATTACCCAGTGTATAGAGCGTGCTGTTCTCATTTATATATTTATGAGAACTTCATAATCATTATTTTTGAAACATGTGAAAGCTTTAAAATTACAATAAAAATTAAATTAACTATCCAGATGCGCATTTCTGAAATGATTCTCTACATATTACGGCATAATTCAAGCGAAAATGCACATTCCTTTTCCTGCTGCATTCAACAAGGCTTAAATTAGCATTTTGCATATGTATGCCGCAGCTTTGTGGGTGTTGATTTCTCTCTCTCTCTTGCTCTCACTCTCACTCTCACTCTGTGTCTCTGTTTTTCCATATGTGGCCAGTGGCCATATGCCGCATGCCACATGCCGCATGCCGCACGTGATAAGCAGTTAAGCGCAAATTTTCACGCACTTGTAAACACAATAAGCGAAGCGTATACGCGAAAAGCCGCAAGCCAGGGCTGCCTGGTAGGGATTGAGGTTGGTCCGGCGACTGAATAGGGCTGCAAAAACAACGCGCACTGGGAAGTACCAGGCTGGCCGGATAATTAATTATCAATTTCATAAACGCCATACGCTGCAGCTGTGACACACAAGTGTGTAATAGCTGTCTGTGCCTGCAGTGCGCTGCCTTTTCGGTCAGTGGAATCGCGTGGGAAGGAAGAGGTCCTGCAGCAACAACAAGTAGTAAATGTCTGTTTGCTGGCGTTGCCGTTGACAACGTAGTTAGCACACATGGACAGGCACTGCCTGAAGGTCGTCGCACGCAGCAGGCTATCTGGGATGCTGGTAGAGGGCGAGGGGGGCTGCGGAGCCAATGTGTGTGTCGGCGACTCAGTCTCAATGCTATAAACTACGTCGTCGCCATTACAATTTCACCTTCAACTCATTCGCATCAGGCGGACACACATGGCGTATACACAATCTTGCGCCACGCTGAAAATAACACTAATTGCATTTTGCACCTGTCGCCCGACTAACTGGCCAAGCAACCTAATCTATCAACCTACCCAGTGCCAGGCCCGCCTCCATTTTCATCAACACAATACCCGTGCTTATGCCAAATAAAATCTACAGGTTGCGTTTAATATCTCGTATTTTCCAATAAGTCTATTATAGCAACAAATTCAATGGCTCAAAGTGCATCATTGCGGCTGAAATACTCTATATAAATATTCTATAAAATATTTTTATATATGTATAAGCATATTGGATCAGCTAGATGTACTTTTCAATTGCACTATTTCAATAAATTTCAATTGCCATTAGCAAACGCTCTGAGGCATTAAATTAACATATTTCTGAAATTCTACAAGACTGTTTGCTAAACATGGAATGGAAAGGAATGGATTCCAGTTGTGTGCTGCTATTATTCTATTATCCACAGACCATATTGTTGATTTACTGTTGCCATTCACCATTTTTAAATATTTGCAGTATATATTTATTCGAAAGTCATAAGTATTTGAAATATTCAATGAACTTTGAGCAAATAGCAAAGTATATTTAGCGTTGGCGCTCTGACGTAGTTTGCATTAATCTGGCGATCTGGTTTTTGCTGCTAATTTGTTAGCCGATTGCTCCTAAAGATTTTGTTTACAAACTGGGCATGCATTTTCGTGTGCGAGCTGCTGCATAGCCCACTCTATGCAAATGCGGCTGCAATGGACCATGTCGGTTTTCTAATTACTATCGCATAGTAAAACTAATCTATGCATATTTCGATCGTACAAAATATACATATTTATTGAAAGCATTGAAAGTCAGTTCACTCAGGTTTATGGTTTATGATATCTGATACGGATGCATTTGAGTGCGATCTTTTGACACGCTCCAACAGCTAGCTGTGGCTGACTTTGCTCATCGCTCATCGCTCGGTCAATTGAAAAAGATATATACGATGCTCAAATAATGATTTGTTTCAATTGAAAAGTCAATGCCAGCACTCAAAGCCCTGGTCCAAGCGGATCCACCAATGGCGCCGTCCCCAACAACAACAACAACATCATCGCGTAGGTTTATTCATATGTATAATTAATTAAAAGCTGAAACAACGCCCGTCTCTAATTAATTGGGCGCTGAGAAAGCTCTCACAATAAATAATATTCAAAACTCTGCTCAAATTTACATAGTTCAATTATGAATTATCTTTGAGCATACATTAGCTAAATGCGATATGCGCAATTCCGTAGTTAAACATTTCTTTGAATTTATTATATATTAGTGTTAGAGTTAATTACTAATGCCGTCAGTTAAATAGTTGAATCGTTAAATTATATTTAATATCCTCAAGAACTAATAAATGAAACACTAATTAAAATATTTCAAAAATAATAAACTATTTTCTACAAAAACTCCAATGTACACCAATTTTACCTAAATTAAACGATTTAATGCTAACCCAAATTTGCATAGCTCTTTTCCAAACAGCCGCAATTAGCTGCAATTATATGCACTGCCGCAACCAAAAGTGTCACAAACAGCCAGTGTAAATTATGAAAAAAGAAAAAAAAATAATAATAGAGATTATAAGCGCCACAAAACGCGAGAAATGTGCTAAATAATTTTATACAAAAGAAATCGTTTAGCTCTGGGGAAACGTGGCGACAATCGCAGCAGGGGGGGCTGACTGAAAGACTGAGAGATAGACAAGCTGTCGCTGTAATTAGCAGCCATGCATATAAAAGTGCATTCACTTTCATCCTATGACTATGAGATGTTGATGATAATGATAATGGCTATGCTAATGATGACGTTGACAATGTGCAATGCTGACGATGCTGATGATGATGATGACGTTAAAGAGAGGACGTCTTCTGACGTTGCCAGGCAATATTATCATTTAAAGGATTTATTTATTATGCATTGCCATTGCAGAAGCCCCCAGCGTGCATGCCAGGCACTTGCATTTGAATTGTAGAATACTGCCAAGTGGGTAATACTATGTAGTAGAAATCATTATCTGTCCCCACACGTGCATGCTAGTAGTATAACTAGCTCTTCAGCGTGAACAGCTTCCGCTGCGTCCACAGCACGAATAAGATGCCGACATTTAGCCGGATGACAGCTCATCTCTGGGCAGTGGTCGATCTGTCGTCTGGGCTGTCTGGCTCGTCACTTCGCTGTCTAATTGCAACAACAACGAAATCCGCAAATGTCGCGACGTGACAGGTCGGATAAAAAAATGAATTTTTGCGGCTTATGAGTAATATACGAGTATTCATTCAACAAATGTGCTGCACGGTGCTGGCTCCGGTATTGGCATCGTCTCGTTGGACGCATTTGCGAATACTATAAATTCATTTGCAATTCTTTTTCATATTATTTGCGTAATTTACGGTCTTTGCCAAATGCATTTATATAGGCTAATGCCTTTATGCGCTATAAATTGATACAATTAACTTTTTATCCAAGCGATGTACGTGCTGGATTTAAAATTTCACGCCTTGCAATTATCGTTATTGATTTTGGCATGTACACACACACACACACATATATATATATATATAAAACAAACATACCATACGCTCAACATACAGTAGCTGTGATGTACTATATGGGCTTCCTATAAATCACCAAAGATTTATGGCAAACTATTGCGACTAATCGCTCAGTAAATCTGGCTGTGAATAATTCAGTTTTATTTAGCGCAGAATATAAACTGCGAGTCTTTCGCCGATTTAATGAATGTGTGTAGAAATTTACGCAGTTCAAAAGAGAAATAGAACAAAGAGAAATTCACTGCGTTAAAATTTAATTAGTCGCAGAAATTCCGATCAGAGCTATGTCGCTATAAAATTCCCCAAAAACAATAATCAAAGTTCTTTGTTTTCTTTGGCGTGATAGACATGAATTCAACAAGTGTAATATACTATTTTTAAGCAACTAATAAAAATACCTCAACTTACATCAAATTTGTATAAACTATAATAAAATAAACACATTTAATTTGTAAAAAAATATATCCAATCATAATAATCTACACATAAACAGATTCATAGGTAATATATAAAATAGATTTCCAAGAATTTAGTCAATTGAGTCTTAGGCTTTCGTAATTTCCCTCATGTTTCTTAGAAAATTGTATGTAATTTGGTATATCCTTCTTGTATAGTTCGAACGCATACTTAATGTACAGTAAACGCAAATATCAAATTTACAGCGGCCCATTTGCAATTGGGAGGTAACTGATTTTATGGGCCACTCATTTAACGGAGGGACTCAGTTCCGTCTTTGATAGCCACAAATTGAAATCGGCTTAACAATTTCGTCAACAACTCTCATAAAATAAGTACGAGAGATATTTACAATGCCAAATGATTGAATAGAAAGGCACACACACCCACACACACACACTCACACACTCGAAATTCAAATGGAATCAAATCAATTGTGAGGCATTTACAAAGATTTACATTTTCGCAGAATTAATGAGGTGGGCGTATTTGTGTTTGTGTGTGTAACCTTTTGGCAGTAAACTGCAAAATATGTTGATATATTATGCAAATGTTTCCATTGTGTATCTTTACCTGCTGGCAATGTTTGCAACAAAAAAAATCTACATATACATTTGCCACAATGGCAACAAAACGGAAAATGTATTTCAGTGTACATTGCAATATTGGCAGATCCGTTTTGGCCGCAGCTCGGACTAGTTCGCTGCCATTGTCAGGCCACATTGAAGAGTCCTTACAGACTGCCTTCTATCGTCTGCTAGCTGGCCAGCTGCCTGGCGAACTGGCGAACTGGCTTCATGATATTCGCATTTGTTGTAAACAGACCAACAGATACGCCGGTCCCTCGTGGCTGGCAAGAATTTATACATATTCTATTTTATTTTAGCTGTGCTAACAAAATGTAGGTCATCAGTACCGTGGCTATCCATGAGTATCCACCAACATCCTTATTTTCGTATTTTTATTATTTTTATTCATTTTTTTTTAATATATGTATGAACGTCCATTGTTGTGAACATGAATTCGCAAATCTATTTCCATTTCGATTTTTTTTTTTGGTGGCTGTTGTTAATGCTTCTATGAAGCTAAAGAGATGCCCTTGCAGCTGTTCTCTTCTTAATCGAATAGCAAATCGCTTAGCCATTTCAAATTTAGCCAGCTAAGCAGCGATAGTCCACCAACATACAAGCACAGACATCCCCATGTCCCCATTACTTTGCCTTTCGCCCTTTGCCCCTGCCCCTGCACCTGCCCTTGTCTTTCCCCTGCCACACTGTGAGCGCCTTTTGATTACAATTTCAATTTCAAAGTGCGCACTGATTTGCTACTTTCATGTGCTTCCAATCAGTCGTTGTCGAAGAACAGCTTCCGCCATTAGCATAACCCAACATCGATGACTGAATGACTGGATGGATGACTCTTTGGCTGGAGGCAGTGGCAAGCGGCGCCAGGTGATTGCCAGCCATGTTTGTGTCTCTGTTTGATTCATTTTTCTATTTTCCTTTTCGTATTTTTTTTTTGCATGCATTGTTAAGATTCGGATTTCAATTCCAATTGGCTGCATGCACAGGAGAGGACCTCGGCATGTATTCAGTTGCCCTTGGCGCTTTGTGGCTGGCAAGTAAGCCTTTAATATTTGCTGACTAGTAGATAACATTTTATGACATGTTGGTTACCCTAGAGTATATTAGGAGTAACTTTTACTAGTAGAGGACATAAACTAGCCAAATCTGCTAACACTATCTATTAATAGTAAATTTGCTTGTATATATCCATAAAGGATTTTTTCGACTCACAAAAAGACTAAAAGATGTGAGATATAAGTTTGGACTTGGATTTGCAATAAATTTGTATTTTGTATGTGCTGAACATTGAATCCAATGTGTTTTCCAAGAAGCATCAAAACCATACTTTCGCTAAAAAATTCATAAACAACTTGGCCTCTTAACCTAACTAGAGTAAAACAACATATATAAAATATAATAAATATTCCCTTAACATAGTCCTATTGAAAAGTTTACTTCTGAGGAATTGCTTGAAAAAGCTTATAGCAATTCCGACTGCGAAGTTAATACATACATATATTATAATTTTTATTGTTTTTTTTTGTGCCAATTCATTTAAAACGAATATTTCAGATTTTTTTAATAACTACACATTGAACAATGCGATGTTCAGACAGTTATCGCAGAAATCTTTTCAAACGAAATAATAAAGAGATGACTCTGTGTTAATGACACGACAACATAAGGTTGAATATCATTTAGTGCAAATTTTTAATGTGTTTTTTTTTTTTATTTCTTTTATATTTACTTTTTTATAGTTTATTATATTATTTTAGCTTGCAATTGCCATTGTAGAATCAAAGGTTAATAAGCCAAATAGTTCCATAACTCCTATATAGAAGCACATTTAAGAGCAAGCAGTGAGTTTATAAACTTGCGATTGCAAGTGGCCGTAGCATTTTGTTATATTCATATGCCATTCAAAGTGTATATGTATATGAAATATACAGAAAATACATAAAAATGTTCGTATACGCGTGGACACAAAGTTCAGGCAGCTGCTCTGCAATCTGTCAAGATAAAGTCATTGTTGTTGTTTGTAGTCGTTGTTATCCTTATTGTTGTTCCTGTTGTTATTTTTGCTGTCGCTATTTGCTCTAATGCACACACACACAAACACATCCACACACACACACACACAAAGACACCAAATAAAATAGAAAAACAGACGGACAGACAAACAGGCAAATAAATAAACAAAAGCAAAGCAAACACCGCTGGCGGCATATCCGCGAGCCATGCAAGCATCAGGAGCTAAGCATAAGGACAGCCAGGACACAATGTGTATGCTGCTGCTGTTGCTGCTGTCAACATGGCGATGTTGGCAGTGCCTCGTAATGAGCTTACCTTATTGCTCTTGCTGTTGCTGTTGCTGTTTCTGCTGTTGCTGCTTCTGCTAGACTCGGTCTAATCCAGAAACGCGTTCTGCTGCACAATTGGCACCAAGGCGATGCTCTGCTACTGCTGTTGCCTGACTGCCTGCCCGATTTCCTTTCCCCGCTTTCGGGTGCTGTTGTTTCGATGCCTTGGCGCGGAAATCCGTTACCCGCCTTGTCGCGTTTCACTGCTCGCTGCGTTGATCAATTTTTTAAAAGCGCACCAAACGGAAGCAGGCACATAGAACCAACTGTCCCGTATCTTTGTTGTGCTTCTCGTATAATGAGCCGTTGACGAGTTAAGCGTTTGGTATCGTTTATGACATTACGCATACGAGGCGTAGGCCAAGACAAAATTTTTGTTTATTTATTTATTATTGCCTTCTATGTGTGCGGCGAGCTGCGTGCTGCAGTCGCAGTGCTCTCGAATCGTAAATGCAACTGTAATTTGTAATTGCGGATTTCGTAAATGAATGCTAGTGAGCGGGCGCGAGAGAATCAATTTCGCATTTGTTACTCATACGCCGCGTGGTGAGACAAACGAAATATTTTCGCGCGCTTCGCTTAAACGACAGCAAATTGCAGTTTGGAAAACAAATGCAAGCGAGAAAACAATCAAATAAAACTATCAGCAACAACAGCTACAAGCAATTTCAGACTAACACAATTTGCTATAGCTAATGGTTAAGTTAATGAAACTATGCATATATACAAAAATATTATTAACTTATGGCTCTTGACCAGAAACCAAGTGATGCAAGAAATCTTTGCTTCTATTCTTATTATTTGTTGTTGTTCTTGTTGATATTATTGTCGTGCATGTATGTGTGTGTGTGTGTGGGATGTCTACTATGCTCTATTTAACAGCAAATCTCGTAATAGTTGTCCAAACATTGCCGGGTCGCCTTCAGTCTATTACTTATAAAAAACAACTATAAGCATAAGTATTTCTATAATGGCACATATTTATATGTATATATGTATGTATATAGATTTATGTGCTTGTCTGTCTGTGTGTATATGCACATAATAATATTGTTGCCGCGCTCGCATTTGTTGTTGTTGTTGTTGTTGTTATTGTTATTGTCACTACTGCTGTTGCCGCTGTTGTTTAATTTATTTATTTAATTTTATACTATGCGCACTCACGCACCCACAAAACGTTTTGTCTTTGGCTGCTCACACGAAAAAACTCTTCCTGCTGTTGCTTCTTATGATTCTGATTCTCTATGCGATGTCGATGTCGATGGCGACAACGATGGCGACAATGTCGTCTCTGTCCGCTGCTGTTGTTCTTGTCGTTGTCGTTGTCGTTGCTGTTGCTGCTGTTGCTGCTGTTGCTGCTGCTGATGATGCTGCGGCACAAGTTCACACAACCACAACGAATGACCGAGAGCAACTGAGCGCTCGTGCGAATTGCGAAGAACTTTTATAACTTTTGCTCCTGCACGCAACGACCAAGTACTGTGGTTTCTCGCCCAATTCTCTCAGCTGAAATCGAAATTCCCTTTTTGCTTAAGTCAAGCAAACACAATTAATGCTTTGATTTCATGTCAAAATATTTGAACAAAATGCTTATAGAACTATATGGACTTCATATTTCCCCATTGTTACTTATATAAATATTAATCATTTATGGGTAAAAATCGTTGTATATTTTAACACATTACCATAATATAATAATTTAAAAAATATATATATTTGAATCATATTTACTAAGCAAACCTATATACCATGCTATTAGCTCTTAAGCCTATGCAACATTAGTAGTGCAAATATGAATCTGACCCACTGTGCAACGCTAGCAGCGCTGGTGGCTACGTTAACGCCGTCGATAGCGAAAGCGCCAATTGCTGTGGGGGCTGCTGTGGGGTCGCCGATGCTGCGCTAAGACCATTCTTTGGCAGTCGACGTCGACGTCGACGTTCTATCTAACAGCTGCTGCTGCTGCTGCTGTTACTGCACTAGCAGCGCGTTCTCTCTTTGCCTTTCGTTCTCTTCGAGTGTGCTCTCTCTTAGTTCGCCTTGCTTGGCGCGAAAAACTGTTGCTGTTGTTACTTAATCGCCGGCATTGTTTTACTCAACAAACCAATACACTACAACTGTCTCACAGCATGTGAGCTATTCCATTTCATTTGATGATTAAAAATATTGAACTTGCTTTAATTTTATAAAAATAATATATAATACATAATAATAGTTGACAATAAAAATGTCTACTCTGTCAACTGTTCTTTAAGTATTTAGAAGTCTTGAAGGCCATGGTTACTACAAAAACAAAAAAAGAGTATTTACTCTTCTCACAAAAGCACATGCTACCGTGTGATATATTATGCACTAAAAATAAATCAATATGCATATGAGAATGCGTTTCGCGTCAAAGCTGCATTTAGTTTTTAGCGGCCTTTCCAGCGGCTCTACAACAGATGTAGCCCCAGATGTACATATATAGTTCAAATCTAAAATAATCAATGTTATGGGTCTCTCTCCCTCTCTTTCTCTCTCTCTCTGTCTCTATAATTATAGTAACAGTCTATTTGGCATTAGCCGGCACGTGGCCAGCACCGATCGTTGGGCGACGACACTCAGTGACAATTTGCTTGATAGAGATCATCAAAAAAAATGCTGACAATTTGTTGACATTTTTGTATAGTTATTTGTTTCGGGGTATTCTGTATTTTTCTTTTTTTTTTTTTTTATTATTGTGGTGAGTGATCTTGTTGATGAGTATGACGATTGTTTACTGGAAATATTCATTTACTATGATAAAACTGTGACAAAAGGCGGAAACACCGATATATAAATGTGATTAAACATATTAAATTTTATTACATTGAGCTGAGTAATAGGCCCATTGTTAATATATATTATTTGGCACTTTACTCGCACAAAGTAGAAAATGTTAAAAATAAACACATTATTAAATACGTTGATAAAATATAATTCTTTAGCCGATCTAAAATATAAGAATACTGATACCAAAAAGAATAGGGGAATTCATATTTATCTAAAATTCATTTTTTAAGTGTAATAGCATCATTTGCTTCAAATAGCCTGTATTTTATTGATTGCCAGTTGTAAACTAATATTTACTCGGACCTACTTTTATTATTTATTTATCATTTTCACACAATCCAAAAACAAAGGGCTAACACTGTTTAACTGCTTTAGGTGTCGCTAATTGAGTAAAACATCTCCAAAGCGAATATTCTATTGTGATAATAAAGGCGTTTCGAAAGCTTATAGTATTTATTAGCCATACTCTAAGTGATTATCTATATAGATATACCACACAATAAATTCTATTATATGTTGAATTCCAAAATAGGCATTGATACCTGTAACCGGTAAACAATTATTACTCATAGAACATCCTGTTGTGCGCAGAAAATAAGTATATATTTTGGGGCGAATGAATCATTAAATATATTCTTAAAGAAAATAATAAGTGAACCTAATGAAATTAACATTTCGGTATCTTATATTGTTATCTACGCTTATCCAACATATTTCTCGCATGCGATAAAAAATTGCGTTTTTATAAAAATGTAGAATTAACTTTGATATTGTTGTTGCAGATCGAATGCGAGGCGCATTTTGCTTATTAATGATTAACACTTAAATAAATAACAATTCGTTTGTTGATTTTATATGTTGTTGTTTTAATCAATGAAAAAGATTGCGCAGCTGGAGATGAGGCATTGATTAAGATTCTTCACGGCGCGATATCAGCTCTGCTATTTATATGGACGTGTGCGTGAGTATGTATACGTGTGCTTGTGCATATTCTAATTAGAATTCTGGGCGCTACTCGATTTTCATAAATTAAATGGCAAATATTTCGTATTCGCATTTGATTAGAACAAAAAGCGAGCCGCCAGCAGCGCAGTTAGGCTTCATAAACGGGCAGCACTTGCAGTGTGCAAATGTCACTGATTTATGGCTAAGACCGGTGTATGTATGTGTGTGTGTGTGTGTGTATTTGGGTGTGTGCCAGTTGGTTTTGTTTGACCAACTTAACTGGTTTAATAGCCCGGTGCCTAGGTAATGGCGCGTGTGTGGTACTCACTTTTGGCCTGCTCCTTCGATGACAGCAGCGGTCGCTGCAGCTCCAGTTCCAATTCTAGTTCAAGTTCCCGTTCCATGCCAGCTGCGATGTCATGGGCCAAGCAAGCGTCGCTCTGACGTCTTGGCATTTTGTGTGGGCTTTGTTATTGTTTTTGGTCGTTTTGTTGTTTATAATTCAACATGTATATGACTATTAACTAATTATTTGTATTTATATTATACTCAGAATGCTTAATTTGAGCTTTGATTTCAGTTTATTTTTACGACTTGGCGCCCTCGTCTTATCAGCAGCGTGCGCGCTTATCACCGGCACTTGACCATGCGACCAGCTTGCTTCTGCTACTGGCTAATAGGCGACTAGTGGGTTGCTCTATATCTGAGGCCCTCCACATACGCATACGTCACGGCACTTAATCGGAAGCACTTTGCTAAAAGTTGTCGTAGTTAGGATTGCGCACTTGTCCCACATATATCACGTTTCGATTGCCCGCACTGCATATTCCAAATTGGGCAAACGTGTTGGCATTTGTTGGGATTTACTTTATTAGCTTTTGCAAAAATGAATCGATTGGGGCGTTGCTCGTATTCTACCTAGTTTTTGTATTATTTTTTGGTCTGCCACTGTTTGAATATTTTTAGACATTTATTTACGAGAATTGTCGCTGTTTTTGTTTATACATATATGTACGTATATTTTTTTTTTGCGCAACGTGCGAACTGTGCAACGGGCAGCGGCCAACTGACTTAGTAAACGCTGCTCTGGCCAGCCTTAAAGTCGCTTCACTTCTCTTCACCTCCGTTCAGTTCCGTCTCTGGCCATTGAGCCGCACAGTTGAATCGAGTAGCCAAAAAAAAAAAATGAAAAACGTCGCTAAAAAAATATAATAATAAATTCGCTGTGCTGCTGCCGGTTTTTGTTGTGTTTGTTTTGGTCTGATATTATAATTGCGAGTGGGTAGCGGCAAGAGCTCTTCGATTCGAAATCGGATGGGATGAAATGGGATTGACTGAGATGGGAGCTGCTTTTGTAGGATTGGCGCATTAAAATGTATTTACACGTTCATTGAATATATTTAAAGCGGCTCACATTTGTTTATCGCAAAAAATCAAAACAAAGCACTTGCTATGAAACACGGTCACGAATATAATTGACAGCTGAATAACATCGCCAGACGTCGTGTTGAACTGAAATAACCCCGAGGCTATGGATGGCATAATATACTACTTGCAAATACTTAGTAAGTGGGGGCTAACCCTTATCCAAACAACAGTTGAGTTGCCTGCGAATATCAAACAGAAGATGACCAATGTTTGAGATGAAGTAATTTTTTATGCAATCACCCAAGCTGAATGTTTAACCACTCTTGAAATAAATAAAAAATTAATCATATTGATTATTAGATGTCAACTTTCATCATATAGATTAGACAGATATAGACAGATATGTCAAGTTGCTAATTGTCAGCATGGTAAGAAACTTTCCTCATATATTTAATAATCAGCCAATATCAATATATTAAAACAGATATACGTGTGTGTTTGTTGTTGGCCTTTCTATAATTGAAAAACAGGAGATTAGATTGGAAATAAGCTCTTGAAGCTCTGCCGCGTAAAACTTTACCCCAAGAGCTTACCCCAAAAGCAAAAGCTAGATGGGTTTCAAACCGAAAAGCACGATTGCGAAAGCTTTCGTAATATCCTCGTTGGAATTCACCTCGTATGGACTGACTGTTTACTTTTCCCAGGATGTTGCTCGACCATAACCGCATAATAGGGCAGAGATTTAGCACGCATTAAACAACATCAAAATAAACAAACAATTTCGCAGACAATTGCTTCAAGCAGTTCAAGCAGCCACAACGAATTGCGGTCGACGCTAGAGGGAGGGGTTAGTCCTTAGCACTGGAGGTGGGGTGGGATTATCCTGTGGAAAAGTATGCGCGCTTTGCTGGTCGTGTGTCAGCGTACAAATTCACAGACAAATTTTCTCTGGCCTTGTTCTGGTGTGGATGCAATGCACTAATCGATATGTTCCAGACGCAAGTCCTTCATCCACAGAGCCAGTCGAAGGCCAGGATAACAGTTAGGGATGCTGTGGAGTGTGTGCGAATGGGAGTGCGTTTGATGGCTGCTGCTCCAGTTGAGCACGAGTGTAGCATAAAAACGTTTGACACTATCAATCTGTTTCTTGTTGTTGTTATTTTTGGTCGGTCAACCCTTGAATTGAATTATGCGAACATGACTTGAAGCAATTGGATTGAATGATACTTATATAGTGCCTTAGGAATAAATAATATTTATTTTATTTATCACGGGAAAATAAATGTAGATCTTTGTTTAACGAGGTGTTATTTAAACTAATTTTAATTTAAACATTTTTTATTGCCAAGAAAATAGAGAAAAATAGACCGGAAAATGAATTTAAAAAATATTTTTTTAGTGAGAGAAATTCAAAATCCACATCTATATAAAAAATATGAACTAAAAATTTATTCGTCTAACATCAGCCGAATAATTTTACATGATATTAATTTTATAACTTAATATTGACCATTATTTTCCGGTTTATTGGAACTCTACTTCTTTTTTTTCTTTAACCTGACCCTAACCTAATCAAATATGAATCCTATTTTAATCCTTTTCTAAATAAATAAATATCTGTATATGGCCAATTATTTGGTGTGACAGGCGACAAGTACGACAATATGCAAATCAAATGAGAGTAAATTTTATTTCCGTTATTTCCCACAGTCGGATCAAGTCCAAGTGGAAGTGTGCATTGGCGATAATCGCGTCGCTCGGGCGCACTCGTTTGAAATGCGATAATTTAATTGTGGTCCAATGACATATCCGCCGCATAGAAACAACAACAACTACAACTGCTTCAACAACAACCACAATGGAAACAACAACAACAAGAATAGTAGGTGAACGATATTCAGTCGAGGGTAGCTAGAGCAATTGCCGAAGTTAAATTAACAATCGTGTTTACATTGGTTTGTAACAAGATTTCACTTAAGGATGTCAGCTTTGGGCCTGCACCGGTATCCTGGACACTTACCCTGCATCAAAACTGATTACTGTCATCAGCTCTTTGTGACGCGGAGTGTGCGCCGGCGCGTGTGTGCCAAACCAATTTGACTGGTAATGAAAAGGTTTGCGCATCCGCATCCGCCCTGACATATTGTTTGTTCATTGTTCGACTTTGCCTCGAGCTGGTTTTTCGCGCCTCGGGGTTAACGCACGTGACCTGGTCGCCCGACGGGGCGGGGCGAGAGCTCTGACGTAGCTAATTTGTGCGTAAACCAAAACATCAAATAAACATAATTCAATTTCAACAATTGCTCTGGCTGTCTGCGGTTTCAAGTGGTGCCCTGTCCGATACAGATGCAGATAGATACATGGATGGATATGACTCCCTATATATACTTATACACTGAGATAGTGCGGCATTCGTTTAATGAGCTGTAAACTGTAACGGACTGCTCTCCGATGTGATCTAATTGTTGTAAGCTCTCACACAATTTGTCATCTCGTGGGAATCTCACTGATTCGAGTAACCCTCCTACTCGACTCCTAAAATGTCAACAGGTTGACTTCCGATCAACTTTCAAAACGAGGCGCCATCATGTTGATCTCACATTACTAACAGCCTATCAAAGAGCTTTACCTCGCATATGGCAGCAAGTCCGCATTATTGCTGGGGTAAATTAAGAGAAAGAGATACCTCCGTCGCCGGCTGACTACTTTTGGGAGTTCGCCTCCAACTCTGTTTGCTGAAAAACATGGCGGCTGCCTGCTGTGAGCAATATAATGGCAAAATGTCAAAAACAGGTGAAGTATACATAGAAGAAGTAGAAACTTCTGATAAGGTTGCTTTCGGTTATGTAGACCGAAATGTGCACTACATTAAATTGAACAATAATTTGGATATTCTTAATTAAAAGTATATATTGTTGAAGCAGTATTTTAAAAATAAATTAAAGCTTTAAGATTAGTAATATCACAATCTTATTTTGCTTAAATATTAAATTTACCCATTACATAATATAGTATAATCATCAATTAGTTCTAAAAATATAAAATCTAGCTAGTCATAGGTTTCGTTAAACAAATATGCCTTATTATTTTCTCACAGCTTCCGACAAGCATTTGCCTTGTGCGAAAACACCCTGTAGTACTTGACAAGCTCCGCCCCTCAGAGTCCACGGCGAATAGTTGTAAGGACATTTAGGGGTTGCAAACAGGCACACAAACGGAGCAGCAGAGCTGCGGCATTTCCAATTGGATCGGCGATGCTATAAAAGGCTCTGAATTCCCTGGAGACGTTCTCATTACACATTTAAACTTATTGGACATCGCCCGCGTGTATGTTAAATTAATTTAAAGTGCAACTAATTAAGTAGATTTTCCAAGAGAAATTAGTAAAATAAAACGGTTTACCAAAATGTCACGTAATCAATTGCCAGATTCATCCTCATCACCTCCCATAAGGTGAGAAGCTGTCAAAATATAAAAAGTGAAGGAATATTTCTGATATAGTCATTGATTACTGCAATGTGTAAAGAAAAATGTGTTTCCCGACGGCGATTGAATTTTGAAATCATAAATTTTACCAACAGCCATTTACCATATCACAATTTCGACGATGATTTAATCAATGAGCTGCCCTCCTGCATATATGCGGGTCAACATCAGAGTGGGGTCGGTGCTGCTGGCGGTGGCATCTCGTCCGGAAGCTCCGGTTTGCGTCTTAATTCCAGCAATTTGAGACATATTCAACAGCATTATTTGCATCAGGGCAATGGTAAGTAAATATAAATGTATTTATTATATCAAATTATTGTTATAGTTTTTTGACGCAACTAAATTATATGAAGTTATACGATCGATAATTGCCAATTTTCAATAATATCATAAAAACTCAAACGAAATTAAAGCTTTTGATGTTGGAAAAGTGTAGTTATTTGAAAAGAATCATTTAAATAAATAAATTTGTAAGCAGTTTTCTTATGTTGAGATAAAATAATAGAAAGTAATTAAGACGACATTCATGTAGTAGAAGCTCTTACTAGAATAAAATGTTTAGAATATTTTATACAGGTAATTTTTTCCACACTGAATATCAAGTTCCTAGATATTTATGGCGTATTTCTTGTTGCATAGTTTCATTAACAACATAGTGTAATAATTAATTCTTATTTCATTTTAGAAAGCATGCTCGATTCATCTACAAATTCTAATCTGGTGTCTCTGAATTCAAATAACGCCACACCAATGATGTGCAATAGTCCAACTGCGAGCAGTAGCGGCGGTGGTGGCGGTGGAGGCGCAGGTGGTGGCGGTGGCGGAGCCGGAAGTGGTCCAGGACCTAGCTCCGCAGGAGGAGCCTCAAGTGGAAGCTATGGTGCAGCGGCTGCGTCCAGTTACAAAATCCAACGGCAACAAGCAAATGTGCGGGAAAGGAAACGCATCCAGAGGTCCGCACCAACTGGGTACACTAAATGGTCTTTTCCATTGCACACTTAGCTATGCCCCGCATTGACTACAACATGAGCTAATGAGCATTTCTTTCTCTCTCTCTCCCTTTCTCTCCTTCTTTATATATTTTTACTTTGCGCTCTGCAGTAGTATCAATTCCGCATTTGATGAGTTGAGGGTCCATGTGCCCACATTTCCCTATGAGAAGCGTCTGAGCAAAATCGATACCTTGCGCCTGGCCATCGCTTACATATCACTTCTGCGTGAGGTGCTCCAAACGGATTACGATCCACTGACCTATGTGGAGAAATGTCTACGCGGCGAAATAAAAGCCGACCGAGCCAATTGGAATACAAGTGATCTAACGGCACGTCTCTCCTGGATCAATTGGGAAAATCTGGGCGTCCATCCAGGACGACGCACCCTCCTCACATCGCTAGCATTGTCCTCGGAGCCAATGTGCGGTGCACATTGTGGTATGCCATAAGCATATTGCGATTCGTTAAAATTAGCAATTTGTTTTTTGCCAACAAATCTTTGTTATTTAAGGAATATTTAAAATATTCCAATTGGATCTCAAACAGAAGTTAGTGATTCTTAACTTACTGAAAAATGTCTATTAAATTATTTTTACATTTAAGCAGATAAGAGCAATAAAATAATCAATATTTCCGGCATAAAGCCCAATGAGATTTTATGTCGGGATACTTAACTCCGAAAAGTATGCTATTCATATAGAAGCGCGTAGTAAACAATGTATCCAAATTATGTCTTCCCCGAAATACTAATAAAAGACGATCTCATTATCTAACAAATAGCAGTAATATTTATTTAAAAAGCATTATTAGTTGCACTAATCAAACGACACTTTATATCATTTCAAGTTTACATTTGTTCGCTGGTTCGTAGAGTTTGGCCTAAAAGGCATGTGTTAACAAATCAATTCCTCAAATTATATTTCAGGATATACATATAAATATATATATTTAGTATCAGTGTAGACAGTGAGTATTGCAACGTGCTCATTGGCAAACTATAAATACATATGTCATAGTAAATAGCTATAGTGAGGTCTTCTTATTTGTCTGTTTGTACATAGCAATCAACTAACAGGCTTTTGCAAGTACATATTTAATAATTCAAAAGCTGTTTATAAAATAGATTCATATATAATCTAGAAATTTTCTACAAAACACAGCATCATGTAAAATATATATTAATATATGCTACAAAATAAATATTCTTTATCAACAATGAAAATAAGAGCACACCAAAGAAACTAAACGTTTTCAATTTACAGACATACATAAAAAATACTTGTATGTGGCGTATATAGGCGATTGATATACATTATATCTACATATGTATGTATGTTTTCTGCTTACATTTTGGCAACAACTACAACTACTATTAACGCACAACCACATATGTACACATACATATCTATATTGTACATATGTGTCTATGTAATTAAATTTGCTTGTTTATCGAATTGGAATTTAACTTTGGTATCATATTTAGTTTTGTTTCGAATAATACTCAAAATACATTGGCTACTATGAGGCTATACACAAATACACACGAAAAATATTACATATATATATATGAATTGGACACATATAAGCTACATCTCTAATAATTGAATTTTACGATTGCTTTCTTTTGTTTCCATATTATTTTTTGATGAGGGTCTTTTCTCTTGTTACTTTTTGTTCTATTTTGATTAACTGCTTAGTTTCCATTTAGCACAGCTATTTTGCGCAAGCTTTCAACCTCATTGCGTTTCAAACGCAAGGAAAACATGGCTTCTACAAAGCTATGGCAGTCGGTGACTATGTTATCCTGTATCATATGGTCGCGAAACATGGTGGCTAGTGCCGCAATATCGTCACAGCGCAATATATCATTTTTATGTGTAATGAACATGGCCAAAGCTGCGCGAAATACAATCTGCAAATATATATGCAATTATTATACATTGCTAAAGCTCAAATTCTTTGACTTGCCTTATAACCTTCTGCAAAAACACAATCCCATATTCGCAGCACAGTTTCCACGGGCAAAACTTCGGCAAATATGCAAATGAACCATTTGCTTGCTATCACCGCATAGGGTAAATCTGTTTAATTCAAAGAGCCATTTCAAAAGGTTGATATAATATTGCTTACTAAACCATATACTTTACTTACTCATGTCTTCCACGTGCCGGTTAACAGCCGGCACACGCCGTATGACCAGCTCCCTAAACACAGCCAAGTCTCGCAACAGATTGGCCATATTATGTGAGTGATACTGCGGCACAATATTCTCAACGATATGCTTCAGTAGCCAGAAAGACTTCTCCTCGTCATCGGTGACAATGAGCAGCAGGCCGGCTATATAGTTGAGACCCTGGCAATAGCCAACATCTCGATTATGATGCGCATAGGCGCAGAGTATGTTAAAGAGGCGCTCCTTCTTGGCATCGAAGTGGATATTGTCGGGAAACGTTCGAGGTAGATCGATTGATATGGAATCGCAGATTTCCTTGTTGAAATGCTCGATATTTAATAAACTACGATAAAGGTTAGGATTTCGTTGCTTTGCCTCATCGGCACCACTAATTTTCATCCAAACATCCGCGCGATATGGACCTGGTATACCCTTGCGTATATATCGCTTTAATTTCGGACTTATCAGCCTGAAATCCGGATTCTGCTGAAGTAAATTCTCCCATTTAATTCTCCGGCGCGTCAATATCTTTAAATAACCATCCATAAACTTCCCATAGAACTGGTAATCGAACTTTTCACCACGCTTAAATCCGTACTCGTCCACATCGCTAAAAATATATTGAAATGCATGTCATTACTAAGCATCAAACTACAGTGATATGGGACTATATGGGACTAGTACTTACCTAAACTTGGAACTTGCGGTCGCTTCCATATGAATTATGACTAGTTTTTATTGCTCAGTTGGTAAAATTTTTCTATTCTGTTTGTTTTCAAACGGATTTCTGTCGGTTAGTCAGTTGTGCTCGTTGTTGCTGCTGCTGTTTGTCGGTTGTTCTTTTTGGTTCATGGCCCCCATTAATTGCTTTTTGGAATTGTGTGCACGTTCGACGCTTCCGCTGGTCGTTGCTGCCAATGCTGCAACTTCAACTGCATAAATAGTAAACAAAATGGAAATTAATAGGTAATCTTATTTATTTACAGGCGTTTTCCACTACTATTTACATCGAATGTCCTTCAGAATTTTCTAAGCAGTCGCTGTTGCTTTAATTGTTGTTTTTGTAGGCGTTTTTAGCGCGCCTCGAGCACTGATAACATTACAAATAGCAGCAGCAGTGGGTGGTAGTAGGTAGGTAAGGAAATTTTTATCACACACTCAACGTTTCAACTTTCGCTCTGATAGCAGTGCAGTATTGAGGTTGGGATTATAGTACTTTATTAACAATAGCTGACAATTGCTAATTGTATGTTGCTTATCAATTCCAAGGGTTTATTTATCTTTTTTCAACTTCTTTCTGTGCGTTTTTCACTTTTCGATCAAACACAAGTGTTAGGCGTTATGTTAAGAAATGTCAACGAAATGTTTTGCAAATTATTAATGGATAGGATCGTAACACTCACTTGTTGGCGTCACATTAAGTGCATCCTGGACTTTGGTGATGGAATTTTATGTTATCATGTGCAAATTATTTCATCTTATCTCAATTTTACTTTTCTCGCAAATCGCGAGACCAGGTAGCAGCACAACAATGTCTGCTTCTTCCATCGCTTGATGGTCACCCTAATGATAACAGCAATGTAAAAACAACTGCATAACATTTGCTGTTGCTAACAGTGAGCATTTTATAGCAGCTGTCGTAACAGATTTGTGTTTGACGAGTGACCTAAATGATTTTAACGTTCAAATGAAGTTAATTATGTATTTATTGTAAGGTATTTGTTGTCTTTGCGAACTAGTGGCACTTAATTTGGCAACTATACATATAAATCCATTTATTTGAATAAAACAGTTTTTTTTCAGCGTTGCCAGATGCAGTTAAATGACAAACAGCTGTGTTTTTGCCGACATGCTGTTCTTGTCAAGCAATCGCAACGTGCCGGTGACACATTACGCAATGTATGAAACAATCTAAGGTAAAAGGCAAACAATTTTTTGACAAGCTAAAAATTCATGTTACAAATAACGTTAAATTTGCAGACGCTTCACCAAGATCAGACTCAGGCTAACAAGAAAAAAAAAAACAATGCTGCGCAAAGCGTCGATGTTAGCTGCAGCCGTGGCCGTAGCGCCCACCGGGGGAAATCCACCAGCAAAAGATTCGCTTGTGTGTAAACCAAGTGAATTGCCAATCTACGGTTCCTTGCATGCGTCAGAGTAAGTGTATTTACTGAGTTTTGATACCATAAACATATATGTTTTTAATTCTATCAACATGCAGACCACAGAAACGGCCAGAGCACAAGCCCACAATTTCCCCGTTGCAGAATACTCTGGAAGACGGCGTCCGTTACGTTCGACTAGAAGTGGGGAAGGGCTGGAAAGTATTAGGCGAACAGACTGCAATCGTTAGCGACTATTATAATACGGCGAAAGATCACACGCAACGTTCCATTGACTTTCTGAACGAGCCACAGAACTCGATGCACCGCAGTGGAGCGATTGTGATGGGTGGTCTGGCTGGTTTTATATTTGCTGCTCGTGGCGGTTTCTTTAAGAAAGTGATTTACACCACAATTGGAGCTGGCACTGTTGCGTCACTCTGCTATCCACGCCAGGCGGAGGAAAATGTGCGTATTGTATTGTACGAGGGGCGCAAGATATTTGCTGTTGCCTACAACTTCATCAAAGGCGTGAAGCCCGGCGAGGAGGTCTCCATCGAGCCAATTCAGAAGTTCCCCACAACTCTGAAGGATCTCAAGTTCTTGGCAATAGATCTGATCGACGAGGCTAAGGAAACAATCTTCCCCAAGAAGAAGTAAACATAAGCAACACGCAAGCAATACGAGACAACAAATTTGATTAAATCAGTCGAATCAAGATTTCCGATCATTCATATATTTATGTGTGTAGCAGCTTGCTTACTTTTTGTTGACTCTGTTGGCCCACTGTGCCATCAGCAATAAACTCAAGTTGAGCATCAATTTGTTTTTTCAGTGGACCACGCACAGATTTTCGCTTATATTGTTTGGCTATTGATTGAATATTCAAACTGGTGTCAAATGTCGTCGGCTAAAAAGTGAAATTTCGCTGTACTGTGAGCTGGCGAAGTCTTCAATCGAACTCGTACTTGTACTCATACCCCATTGCGATTGTGCCAATCATTCCCACTCGATGACTGAGAAGTTAATGAATGGATCGAAATTGAGGCTGCCGTTAGCTGCAATTGTTGTTCATCATTTACGCACTTGACCGTTGCGGGAAGCTGAAGCATCTCAATTGAAGATTGTAATAATGATAATGCATGATTGCTGTATGCTATATACTATGGATTCATGTAATTGTCGTAGCGAGGGTAGATTGATCAGTAATGGGTCCAGTCTAGACACATTTAATTTGCTGTGGATAATGACAATAATATTGTGGCTTTATAGAGCACATCATAGGAAATCAGGGTTGTTACCATTTATAAAAGGTTGATTTCGTTTTTCAATTTATTTCACCTTTAAGGAATATATATTTAGACACTTTCAGTTATTTGTTGAATGAATTATTTTTCTTCTTCACAAATTTACAATATATTGTCAATAGATTTATTTGAGCTCATCTTTATAAATAAACTTGTTCTTTGGGCAAGATACAACATAATGATGTTTGTATGCGATTTGTTTCATAAGTTATATAGATTTAATTAATTATTAATGCCTAAACTAAAATACCAACAACTTCACAACGAAAATGACTTTTTGTTTTGTTCCGTACTTATTTCTGTTCATTTTTGTTTTTGTTTTTATGTTTTATATATATACACATATTGATGCAATTATATAATTTATATATATCCATATGTTAGACAACTTAAAGACAATTTTCGCTAGACTAACTTAGTGGGCCTGACTAAGTGTGTGCGGTCAATGCAAATTGTTAAATTGAAGCTAACTAAGCTTAAGATTCGTTTAAATTAAAATCACACAATCTTAAAACATACATTTAATAAATTAAAACAATAACAAGAGTTGAGCACATCGACGATATACATATGTATGTAGATACAGCTTATCATCTCACATGCTCCAGTATCCAGGGCACGAATTTGGAGATGCGCGTGCAGACGCCCGGCAGATTGGCCTCGGCACAGCCAATGCCCCAGGATATGATGCCGGCTAGAAAGAAACGTCCGTCCTGCGACTTGGCCTGCAGAAAGCGTGAATTTCAGTTAAGCATCATTTAGTGATTGATTAAGATAGGGAGACTTGGCGTACCTGCAGTGGACCACCTGAGTCGCCTTGGCACGAGTCCTGACCGCCCGTTTCGTAGCCAGCGCATAAGAAGATGTCTGGAATGAATTCCTGGCGGCCGGCGCGCAGAAACATGGACTTGCAATTGTCGTTGCTCACGATGGGCACAGAGACCTGCATTGAGTGTGAGTGAGAAAATATGACGGCGATTTGTTGCCTGCTTGCTTACCTCCTGCAGCACCGAGGGCAGTGTGCCGCCCTCGCTGAGTCGACCCCAGCCAGTGACCGTGGCATTCATGCCAATCAGCAGACTCTCCGTTTCGGGCAGGCAAATGGGACTGACATGCGGCGCAAATTCTAGAGGCTGCTCCAGCTTAACCAGTGCCAGATCGTATTCGTATGTGAAGAAGTTGTACTTGGGATGCACCACCTTCTTCGATACGGCGCGCTCAATGTATGGCAGCTGCTCCTGCACATGAGAGAAGTCATACTCGCCCACGCGTATGCGAATCTGTGAGATGAGCAGACTGCAAATGAGTAGACAGAGGAAAAAAAAAGAGACAAGAGAGGGACAGTGTGTTAGATAATGTTTAATGTGTGTGTGTGTGTGTGTGTGATTGTGTGATGCAGTTGGTACTTGGTACTCACTCGTCTACACAGTGCCCCGCCGTGGCTATCCAGTTCTCGTTGATCAAAGCGCCACCGCAGCGATGTGTGCTAGAGAAGCCAAAGAACGAGGTGCGTCGCACAGACACCTGCCAGGGCCAACGACCGAATGCTGCGCTCTTGCCGCCCACAATCCGAGTCTCTGGACGCGTCAGCATCGGCACTCCACATTCTGAACACATACATACATACACATATATGAACATATATATTTATGCGCAATTGGATTGTGTCAAATACATTAGGCGTGGCTGTACTTGGACTTACCGCTGCGTGCCGCCGAAATGGTCTTCACTTGGCCAAGCATGCCGTCCTCGTCTGTGGAGGAGTCCGTTATCTCATTGGACTCAATGCCAGCCGTGGGCTGCTGAGATGTTGGACTCGGACGTGGTCTGTAGGTTGATACAGCAGCCGCTGCTCCCGCCGTTGTGGATGTGGATGAGGATGAGGATGTGGAAGCTGTTGTCGTGCCCGTTGTGGTGGGCCGCTGGTAGGGCTTAGTGGGTTTCCTAGTCGTTGTTGTTGTGGTGCTGGTTGTGGCTTTCGATGTTGTTGTTGTTGTTGTTGTGCCCTTTGTCGTTGTTGAGGTTGTTGTTGTTACGGCTGATGTTGATGAGGAGGACGCGACTAATGATGTGCCCGGCAACAGCTGGAAGGTAGCCAAAAGTGGTAAACATTATGCTAATAGTTACCCAAGGAGCTCAACATATTTCACATGCAAAGAATCAATTTTTCATTCCACTGCTAAATCTCTGCGGAGGCCAAACGAAATGGCTTTGCTCAAGCCAACTTCTGTATGCCCTTACTTTACCTACTAATAACCGAACATAGCATTCGTATATTCTGTATATTGTCTGGGGAAATACTAAAACTTGCCAAGAAATAATATACATAGATTTTGTCTTTATATCCTTACATATGTATGTATATCTTCAAATATTCTATATATAATTCTGTATCATCTCTTTATTTTCTACATGTTATTTATAAAATATCTGGAAATTTACTTTTCATTAATACACAAATATTTCATAACAAATATTGAACAATTATTCTATCGAATCACTTTACTTGAACACTTTTTTGATACCCTAATGCTAGCCGGCAAGTGCAGAACAACACACCCCAGAGACGAACAGCTTGACTACGTCAGCATCAGCACAAGACAAATCTTACATCAGCTTAGGCTCGGGCTTTGTGCAAACAATAAAATGTCCCCCAAGGCTGTGGCTCCAGTCAGAGCATAAGAGCAGCAGAGAATCCCAGCCTGATCGAGGAGTAAATGACCTCGTCGCTCGTTTGTTTCGCTTTCGACATCAATGCATCACACACACACAGAGCGTGTGGCACAGGATGAGGAATTGTGGCAAGCAGACAGAGAGATGAAGACGCGTATTTACATACCTGAGGCCTGGTCGGTATGGGTTTGGGTTTGGGCTTCGGTCGCGTCTGCATCATTGTCGTAGTCGTCGTCGTCGTCGTCTTCGTCGTTGTCGTTGGCAGCGGCGTTGGAGGCCGCTCGTAGACAATCGGTTTCTTTGTGGGCTTTGCCGGCTTGGAGGGACGCATGGTTGCTGGCAAATTGACTATGCCGGGCTTGGTCCAGCCGGTGGGTCGCGGCCTGGTAATAAAGCTTGGCTCGGTGGTCATGTGCCAGTGGTGGTGCTGTGGCTGCTGCTGCGGCGGCGGCGACTGCTGGTGCGTTGATGTATGCCAAATACTATCTGTTGGTGTAATTGTTAGTTGTTTGTTTGTTGTTTGTGAGTCCATAACTCTGTCTTCCATAACAATGCAACAGGCGCCACGCTCAATACTCACTCGAACTGCTCGTCGCCTGGCTGGCTGCACTCTGCAAATCGGGCGGCGTCGTTGGCTTCGGATGTGGCCTGGATAAAGTGCCCTGATGCACCGGACCAGAAGGACGAATGACCAATGTACCAGCGCCATGTGGACGTTCAATAGTTGTCATACCGCTGCAAAAATTAAAAGAAATACATATTCGATAATACTTATTGGAAACTATGCAATATATTTATTGTTAATGTTAAGGAAATTAAATTTAATTTGTCATAGCTCATCTATTTTTATTAAATAATTCAACTAAACGAAACGTATTCTCTGAACACCACATATTTATTTAAGTATTTTTTGACCTAGAATAAAGAATACAAAAAGTAAATATAAATATTTATGCCAAATATTTTTACTTATTTTTGTTTAACTAGCAATCAAATCAATTTTAATGCTAACTACTTCTTGTCTAATTTCGTTAATCGTTTATTACATTTGAGAAAAGAAATATATATTAAGACTCCTATTTAAGCAAAGATATACTTCAATCTTTAAGTAAAATGAAAATCTAAAATTATCTATAATTTGTAGAAATAACTGGGCTTTCTAAGCTCGCCCTATTTTCAGCAGTTAAGCAAAAACATGTTTGTGTGCAGGGAAATTAAATTGGAAATCTCTTGTACTATGAATAGTATATAAATTTCAAAGGAAATTGGGTTAGAGCCGCCTTTATTTACCCACCTGATTAGCGGCTTGTGTGGCTGTGGTGGTGGTCGGGGCCGCATCGACAGGGGCTTGGTGGGTCTCGTGTATGAGAAGCCCGTGTGGGGCAGCACAATATTCTCGGTGTAGTTGTGGGCACAGCATGAGCCAAACATGAACGAGTCAACGCACATGCCCACGTGCTGGCCCTCGGACTTGATGCACTCCCAAACGAACATGCAGGTGCCCTCGATGCGGCCAAAGGAGCACGGCTTGGGGCTTATCTTAAAGTTTTGGCTGCGCTGCAGATCCGCAGGCGTATAGTAGCCATCCAGGCGATGTGGACTGCGATAGAAACTGGGCAAGGATGTGCTGTCGTCATTCTCATTTGTGGAATCGTAATCAAAGCTGTTGGTATTGCTGCCGCTGCTGCTGCTGCTACCGCTCCCGCTGCCTGTGTGCTGTGGTGTGATAAGCGCCGCCGTCGCCGCGGCTAAGCAATTGACTAAGATAAAGGCTACTAATACTGCTACTATTTGGTGTCTGCTGCTCTCTGGTATCGCTGCAGTTGCTCTGTTGACTAGCCAACGCTGCTTGGGCCACATCTTCGGGTCTGTGCTGCTGCCAAAGAAAAATTAAGAAAACAAAAACAAAAGATAAATAAAAAAAAAAAAGTGTGCTGGGGCAATTTAGCATTAGACTTGTTACCTGCCGGAACACTGGGCATGTTCCAGATGCCCCCACACCCTGCGCTGCGCTTTACCTTCTGATCCCTACTAATTAAGTGCACTTGTCGCATGTTGGGCACTCTAAGCAACTGCAACAACAACAACAACAACAACATTAGCGTTAGCTAAAAAACGGGCATGTCGCTCCAGCGATTTCTACTCTTTATGATTGCCAGCTGTTTGCAGCGGCTGCCGTTGGTTGTTGTCGTTGTTATTGCTGCAGTCACAGTTGTTGCAGTTTTTTGTAAGACTGCGAACAGCCAGTGACTGGTTTAATTACAACTTTTCACTTTTGCCTCATAATCAGTTTTTTTAGTTTGTTTTAGCGCACTATAATAGAAAAAATTTATTGTGATCGCACGAATATGTTTTACAACAGACGACACATGCTACAATTAATAATATTGTCTTGTGGCAAGAAGAAAGAGAGACCCAAGTCAGATATCTTGGTCGGGGCGAGCCAAGCCGGGCCGGGCCAAAAGCTCATCAAAGCGGAATCATTTTGAAGTTTAATTAAAAGTTTACTCAATTCCAACGCAGAGCACACGCCATCAAAGTGGATGTTCGCGTTTCACCTGATGCCACACAATGCAACCACCCACAAGTACGAGTACAGTAATCATATTAGCCCCTACAAGCCAAATGCGTCGCCCCTACCCCTGCCCCTGGTTGACAACTTACCTGTGTCTGCGTCTGTGTCTGATTAAAGTTGCTTGCTTCATCGGTAACGTGCCGGGCGCATGTCTGCAGTTATGGAGTAGAAGAAGCGAAAGGTTTGTTATTAGCTGTTGTTTTGTTATTTCTGCTCGAGAATGGAATGTAGCAGGGCTATAATTAGTGGATAACTATAAGTATATACTTCTATATGATTGGTCATGCATGCGGTGCAAGCGCTACATACGCCCACCCACAAATAACAGCCCCACCATACCATGGCCCAGGCAATTGCATGTCTTTATCGTATATAAACTGAGGCAATATTGCCTATTATAATCGGCGGCGAATAAAACTCGAACTACTTTTCGTTGTGCTGCTTATACATAAGGAATGCGAATATCTTTCATACATTATGTAATTAAAGAATTGCTTATAATAATATTTTTAAGTGTATTGATTTATAAAAATAAAAAATAAAAACACCACACAATTGCTTTTTTTACTGCCCAATCAGGGTATTAACAAAAAAATGTAAGAGCACAATAATAAGAAAAAAATACAATGATCAATAAAAGTCGTGTTCGCTAATTTATGAAGAATATTGTGACATTGAGAGAAAAGGTACAAAAGCAAGCGAAAGGGAAAGTATCAAGTGTATATAAACCTCGCATATAATGGTGATTCGCACTTAAATACATTATTATCAACATTTATTTTAATAGACCTTTAAAAATGGTAAAAAAAAAGAAAATGATACTGTAAAAAAGTAATGGAAAGGTATTTAATACATACTTTTTGTTTCATTGAAAATATACTGCAAATATATTTATTTAAAACTTGAAGGTTTTTAACTTGGCATAGTTAAGAATAAACATTTATTCTTATTAAATTTATTAACACATTTGAAAATGCTTGAATTAATGGGAACGTTTATCGTAAATATTCCCAAGCCCCGTTTATCACTCTCATCTCATCAATTTAATGAGAAACATTTACACTGATGGTAATTACAAATCATTCAAACTGGAACCGAAATATTTCTGCACGTCATGAGCCAGCAGCTGATGATTGAAACTGAAATTGAGATCGAATGACTTTAATTTCAGTATTTGATCTCTCTACGTCTATTTATCGAGCGTTTCCGACCTCTATTACAACTGCTCAATGTACAACTGTTGACGCCAAACGTAATTTTCACTCTAATAACTTTATTTCAGTTTGAAATGAAGACAGGCACCAGGTCGATCCGCCAATCGGCCGGTTGCTCGATGGGAACTGGGAGCTGCCACACGCCATTTATAAGCCATTGAACGCCTGAGCCGTTGCAAATGAATTTCGTTACGTTTTCATTTCCTCAGCAAAACGATCAGTTTAGCTGCTATTGCTGTGTCTCGTAGCTTCTTTTGTTTTTGTTTTAACTAAGAGACCCGAAAGGTAATTACCCCGCTTAAGCGCCCAGCAAGCAGAAGCAGCAGCCGTACCAAAAGTAATCTTTTGTGCTAATGACTATCTTTTAGAGACCCCTCGACTAACAAAAAACCAAAAAAAAAAGACAAGTAGCCAAAGACTGACAAACGATTGGACAGAACCAGACCCGAAACCCCGGCGCTGGCCATGCCAAAGGCCAAATCATTTTGTAGCAAAATCTTTTCTGTTCAACAAAGTATTAGAAAAATGCAGCAGCTGACAGCGAAACTGACAAACGCGGAACAGGGCAACAACTGAGGTGTACTGCTGCTACGTGTGGATCACAGACCAAGCGGCAACCGATGCCACAACAGGCAGCTAGTTGCACAGTAATTGTAATAAGAATTGCGCAATTTGCGTCAGTCACTTAACTCCAAAGACGAAGGCAAAGGCGAAAGCGAGGGCCACCGACACCAGCTACCAGTTAGTAGCTTTCGGTTGCAGTTGCAGTTGCAGGTTCGATCTGCTGTAAAGTGTGGAAAAGTCACAGTCTGCCTGGTAAATGGTGGGCTGGCAGGCGAACCTGCCCGGTAGGCGTTTTGTCAATCGACAGACGATCGACAGGCGACGGTATAGATGACAGGCCGCCCAGGCTAATGAAAAAGATAAACAACTGGATCACACGACCACAGACCAGGCACGCAGCTGGGCCGCAGCTAAAGTCCGGCTTCTATCTCATACGTTAGATAGCACATGTCCATCTACAGCTCGACGTCGACGTCGACGTCGACGTCGACATCGGCATCTTTTGAGCCGCTCTCTTGTTATAATCACAGCGCGTAACGTAAACACAATTTTTGAGTGGCTTCTCCATGTGAAACACACATTGCCAGGGGCCTGATACGACGACGACAACGACCACGATGATCAGAACACTGAGAATTAAAAGTCATTGTACCTATAAATCAACATCGCGATTTCTTGCTAGTGTAATAAATATTGTCTACGCAAATAATACATGAATAAACTCTCAGGGCACTACATAAAAAGCTTGTTTATATAAGTTTTAAGCAATTATGAAAAGAGAATTGATATATAAGGAAATTATTACATTTATTGTGTATTTATTTAATCAAAATCAGTTGCTCAAAAGTTTTTAGATGGGACCAGCCGCAATTTCATTCAAATCTATTTAATGGAAAATAAAGGTTAGACTTCTTATCTGAATTCAAATGAAATAATTTGTATGATTGCCCAACGAAGCAATCTAAGCAATATATCGCTTGAGCTATAAGATTGTAGTTAAAGGTGTTTGCCGACTTTAAATAAAGTTTAATTTTCTATTTACTTAGCTGTCCATTAACTGACGACTATCACTGTCTAGCTATCACCCGGCGCCTATTTGTTGAGCCGCAACTTTTAACGCTGCACATTAATCAATTATGTGCGTCAACATCAACAGCCATCACACATACGCAAGGTGAGCCCATCAAGGAACGGAGCGAGCTCGACTCTGCATCGTTTGCATGCACTTTCCATGCGGCAGAGCGTACTGAAATAAAAGCAACGCGCTGCCGAGCTGTTAGGTGTCATAGACTGGGCCACAAACATAAATCACTCGGCTGGCGAGTGTCTCTGGTTTATTAACCTGCCTCAGCTAATGGCCGGCCCCGTGCTATGCAACCTGACGGCTTAGCTGCACTTGAACCTTTGGCTGCACCACTCTTAAGCCTCTCAGACCCAGTGGCCAATGCCCAGAGCACAGTTATTGTGGTTGTGGCTGCTGTTGTTGTTGTTGTTGGTTCTTCTTTTGTTTGTCTGTCTGTTTGTTTATGTTTGGTTTTCAGCGTTTTTCCTCATTTAGAGCGACCCCGGCGGAACCTTTTGCCTTGTTCCCATTGTCCAAATATTTACTTTTTTCTATGCCCTGTGCAGAGCAGCATGACGTTGCTGGTTTTAAGGTCGAGTTCTGCGGCTTCTTATAATTTCATTTTACCCTCGAGCCGAAAGCAACATAATTAATATGGATTTAGTTGTCTAGTTGGTTTGTTCTTGGACTTGCAGCGCTCTTCCCAGCTTGATTGGCCCAACCAAGCTGTTTATTCATGGCAATCTATTCTAAATAAGTTACTTTATTTTCAATATCATAACGGTCGCACCTGTTTCAATGGAGTGAAAATTAAAGACCCTTAAATGAAAGGGCTCCATTACAATAAGAAATATAAATCTAACTCAATATCAATCATGATCATGGGGCTACGGAAGTGAGCAACACCAACACGTGCGCCCAAGTCATTCACAAACCAACAAAAAAATATATATATGTATCTATATTTATACGCAGCAACCAGCTCCATCGTCATCGTAACTGTTGTCAAGATCTGACATGCCGGCCACTTGGTATTTGAAAACGTTAAGAGTTAAGTAAAATAAAATCGTGCGGCAATCACTTTTGATTATTGAATGCTCCACAAAGAGATCGAACAATGAGGCTCGAGTCTCTGTTCGTGAGTGTGACAATTTGACAGATTGAAAGTGAAAATCTTCAAAATAAACGTCTTTAAATGTCTGTAATGAACACAGACCCGGCCAGGGCAGCCATACCCAGCCAGGGAGAGGTAATTTGCATGAAATGCACGTTGCTGCCGTGCCCACAGCCAATGCTCGAGCACGCCCCGAGCATTCGGTTGCCCATTACCCATTATCCATCCACTACCCAGCTCCAGACTCAGTGGGTCAATCAGCATTCACTTGTCTCATTTTCAGACTGTAAATTGAATAGGGCCCAGGGCGCTGACAGCCAATTTAAGTGAATAGCCAGCTAAGTTGTCCAGATGTTGGATTATTCATGCACATTATTGCAACGAGCTGAAACAATATGATTTCCATGTATTCCCAACGATCCGATCCCGACTGCGAATGGGTATTAAAACTATGTCAAGCAATTTCGTTCAGGCGTCATAATAAACAGCTCGTCAATTGAATGCAAATAATTATTGGTTTACTGGTAAGTGTTAGCCATTGATAATCACGATTAGACAGACAGACAGATACTCGCATGTAAATAAACGAGTAGACGCATTCATTCATACATTCATTCAACAAAACAGGTAATTGTCGGTTTGCTGTGCGGTCATATTAATTATAGTTTGTAGTTTATATGGCCGAGTGCGAGTGCGAGTGCGGGTACAACTGTGATGTCATTGCATGTCAATGGCCGAGCCTCTGTGATGACACAGCACCAACAATAAATGAAAACAATAACAACAACAAAAGAAAGTTGTTATTAATGTACTTTGTTTATGATTCTCACAGAGCTACACACTCCCTGAATTGCTTTCTATATTACTGATTATGTGACTGACCTGTCTAAAATGCATGAAATTGAGTACAAATGAAATATTTATAAAGTGAGCATGCCAATTAATTGCAATCTGAAGTTTTTATCTTAATGTCCTCTACGCCTACATCTTGCCTTTGCCCATATCTGCTATTAATGGAAAACGCCCCTGAAAACCTTTATCAAAGAATTTTCATATAGGTAAAGCACAGCAACTTTATAAATGATAAGGACTTCATTTTAATTATTGTCCGATTTTTATTTTATTTTTATTATCAGATTTATATGTTAAAATTTGTTTTTATATATTTTAATTATATTTATTTCAAATTTTTAATTATATTTCATATTAGTTTGTTACTTAGAACTATCCAAACTTTTTATTCTTTTATATTTGCATTCATACACTTCAAAAGCCAGAATTAAAAGAAAAATATAAGTATGTCTGTATATAACTGCACCTATGAATTATCTTTCTTTCATTTTCCTATGCTATCTTTACGTTAGCAGTTTTATTACGGTCAGCCAAGAATAATTAATGGATATTCAGAAGCAGATGCATTCGTTTGCATATTTTAATATAGTGGGATTTTGCTATCAGATTAGACCACACTCATTCTCATACCTGTTAACGGTGGCAGCACAGCAACATCTCTATGATATAACTGTGCATGTTTATAGCCAAGGTTGTTTGCGGCTGAGGCATAAGTAATTTCATAATTTTCTCGAGGAAAATGTTAACGCATTTAGCCAATTTCGGGACCGAGATATGGCAAACAAATTTTGACAAATGGAATAATGAGTTCAAAAATTATATAATAATCCAAAGACGGTCACAGTTGTTGGCTGAGCTGCAATAAGATTCGCCAAAAGCAAACAACACTCACATGGAGTTACATACAAGTACACACACACACGCACGCACACTCAAATTTGTCGTCTGAAGAAGAGAAAAAAAAATTGTTCGTTTTACGCGCAAGTGAATTGGAATTGTGTTTTACGAGCGCGCGCCTTGATTGCAATCGTCGTGGGGGAGCACGGTAATCGTAATGGCAAGGGGCAGAGTTTCGGGAGCCGCATTGCAACAATTATTCTGCTCGATGACTTTCGCTAATAAAACGACATACGGCCACGCAGCGGATGACAGAGCCTGCCAGCAACTAGTAACTGGCACTGACTCAATGCGAAAGATGGCTTCAGGTTTTATTATCGTAATACCGAGATAATCGCCGCATTTGCCAGACTCTTTCATTGCGCACATACATATGTACTTACGCTTATGCTGATGTATGCGCAATAGTTTATAAACAATTTTATTGCAAAACATCGATGTGCTAGTAGTTCGTAAGCTCACACAAAGTCATTTGCAAATTAGAATGTCGCATTACGTATACGAAAGTTTATCCAACTTTATGACGACGCAGTGAAGCAATCAAATTAAATTTAATCAGCAATTTTCGCTTAGAATGGGAAAACGTTTAAAGCAAATGAGCGAATAGCAATTTAAAACACGTTTATGGTCATATCTGTTATACAAGAAGACAAGAAAGAGGCCCAGTGGAACTCAGGCCTAGCGCTCACAAATGATTGTCAAACAAATTGGAATTAAAACTTAATCAACTTATCATTCGAATTCGTTAGGCTCATAGCTAAGAGAAACTTATATTGGCTGTCGACAGAAAAAAAAATAATTAAGAGCTGACTGATAATAAAAATGATATTTTACAACAAATCTCCAAATTGAAATATCACACTTTTCAATTTGAAAACTTCAATTATAAATAAAAATGAGAATGCCAGCTACTCAATTTGAATTTTAATGAGGAGAAATACAATAAAATTGTAAATTAGATTTTTATTTTTTTTTTTTTTTTTACTTACTAGACTTTTCAATTAAGTATTAAGCTCCCAGACATAAATGGCTGTATTTGGATCGTTGCACAGAAATAATAGTTGAACGTCTTTGAAGACTTTTGGGCTACTTAAATGCGAACTGATTTTCACTAGTCGTAAAGAACAATGACCTGGTAGCTGTAGCTTATCAAATTTGATTTTCACTGGCTGCCATTTTGGCCACTGGGACTTTGATTCGGTTTACACGCACTCGCACTTTTCTGTGCCGCTCTCCACAGATTTCGTTAATTATTTTGTTCGACCGGCACACTTTCCAACGTTTTCATGGTTAGTGGAACAGCAAGTCGGCCGATAACTGCGTGTATGATCCAGTAATGGTAATCAAATATTTTGTTTAATTGATTTTCACTCTTTTCTTTTTTCGAATGCAATAAACTTTAGTAAATATTTGTGGGCGAGTTTATGGGGCAATAACTTCACAATCACGCCAACACTTCCAATCAAAACTAATTCACCACAACCTCTTTTCGACTGGGTCTTAATTAAATTCGTTTTAAGACCTTAGGTTCATTCTTTTTTTCTTTTTCGTTTCCTATTTTATTACGTTTATCTGTAAATGCGTTATTTGCTTTTATTTTATTGCACAATTTTGATTTACGATTTTAGTTTTCCTTTTCCTTTTATTTTTGTTTGATTGTTTTTCACTTTTCCAGCAAGGGTCGTGAGGGCTTGTGAGTTGATTCGCCTTTCGCTGTCCAATTTCTACAAAATAAAACATAATTATATACGTTATAAGCAACTCAGCGAGCAAAATCAAATAAAATGCTTGGGAATTTATGCAAAAAATATGTCGATAAACTTTGAGATAAGGTGCAGCTCGAAAACACATTCGGTGACCCTATTTGGGCCTGTCGTATTTGCATTTGATGGGCCACCAAATGCTAAATTGAATAGCCAAAATAAAATACACACACACACAAAATTCAAATAAACAAACGAACTAGTTAGTGCAGGTAGCTGGAACGCTTGGATAGATCAGGTGGGCAGAACTGGATGTTAATCTTTTTATGTGAAACACCTATGGGAATTGGAAATCATATACGAATCTACCGTTTGTCCAATTTTGTGTTTTAGTGACAGCAAATTTAAAGCCTTTTACATAATAAATTATAGGAGACGTATAAAACTTCATAAATCTAAAAGTAATATTAATAAAACTTGTTTAAAAATACAAAATGAATATATGCTATATACTGATAGTTTCATCTGGCAGCTAATCTGTCAACTGTATCTGCAAGTTCGCTATTCGGATTGTTTTTTATGCCGCCTGAATTAGTTTTCTCTTAGACACTAATTCGACGTTGAGTTTTCTCCTATCTGCGCAAGTTGCCAGCCAAGCAAATCATTCCCTTGCACTTACTGTCACAAGCAGCAACAGTAGCAGAGTCTCAGCCACCAGCTTCCCATCTCGGTTGCAATGGAAGACGCAACCACAAACACCGCAGATACCACAGTTGCTGCTCATTAAACGTACATTTGCACTTCTTTTCGTTTTGCATACAACGAGAACTTGTCAACAATTAACAATTAACTGGCTCAAATGCCGCTACTACTCTCTGGCTGTTGCTGTTGCTATGGCTGCTGCTGCTGCTGCTGCAATGTCTGTTATAGCAGCAAGTTCGTTTCCTAAGTCTTTTGTTTGTCGTATGTGCCAAAGTGCTGCCAATTTT